TAAAAAAGAGATTTATAGAGACCACGAACAATAAACAGGACAAAACACAATCCAATGCAGAAAGTAAACCTATGTTAACCTTTTAATGACCACCAGGTTTCTGCCCTCATTGACTCAGTTCTGTGTTTACTCTGTGAAACCCTGCTGTGAGGATCCTGATGTGGTGACACTCGTTTAAATTTCTTTATGTCTTACTGCTTGAAGCTGAAGAGCCAGGTCATTTTTCTCCTGAACCAAAGCCACCTGCCGCTCCTCCGCCTCTTTCCGCTTCGCCTCCGACCTGATGAAAAAAAACATGGCAGAACATCAGACGTCTGTCTGCGTGCAGCTCATTTCAGGCTGTAGCCCTGATTCAAACATCGGCGGATTAACAGACCTGTCGTAGGCCTCTTTTAGTTTCTTGAACTCTTCGTTCAGAGCGGCCAGTTCCTTCTCTACCTGGGCACTCCTGAGCAGCGGGCGGAGCTTAAAGAATAATATCATCCACGGCCAAGTCCTCACTGAGAAGAATGCCCTGACGGCAAACTGGATCACCATCGCTGCGTCCCTGAGAGGAAGAAGAATAAAAAATCACATCAGCCCCAAAAAACAGGCGATGAGAGTCAAAACAAAAGTTTAAACATCTTGGCATGGTCATATATTCATTAAACTCTGTCAAGTTGCTTTTCTTTCTTACAAATACAACTTCCTCCTTCCTTCTGATCAACTTTTCAGCACTTTTTAAAGTTTTTAAATTCTCCTTCTCCTCCTGATTTGTTATCATTCATTCCCCTGATAGATGTGATACTGACCTTTGCAGCATCAGTTTCTGTCGCTCCATCCTCATGAGCTTCCCTCTGCATATGGCCTGAACGGTGGTGAGGATCTCAGACAGACGGTTGTCCCTGATGTCCTCCAACTGACCCAACAGACTTGCCTTAAAGAACACCTGAGACGAAGCAACGGGACCATCAGCTGAACTCCAACAACACAGGTATCAAAGGCAGGGTAAACACGAATTTGTTGTACCTTTGTGTGTCCAAACTTGTACTGGCTGTGGTCTATGTATAGAGAGCCCAGCAGTTTCTCCACAGCCTTCCTGTTGTCCACAAATGAGTCCTCTGGAACCACAAAAGGGTTCAAGATGCGATAACTGAGAAGAAAAGAAAAGTCCATTACTGAAGAGCAATAGCAGATGAAGTAAATAAATATGTGTTAGATATGGGACTCACCGCTGTCTGAAATCAGCGTACAGGATGCGGTTTGGAAAGCCCTTCCTGCAAATCCTGATCCCCTCGAGGACCCCGTTACACCTGAGCTGATGGAGGACCAGGAAGGGATCCATCACACCTGGAAAAACGAAGGAAGGCATCTCAAAAAATAACTTGGAGAATACTTTAACTGTGCAGTCCTACAATATTTTTATTTGGGGCATTCAGTGCAATTTAGTAAAAGTCATTACTTCAGATGGTTTCTTTACAAAATCGAGCATTACGCTAAAACCAAACTGAAAGTGCATCAACAAATGCATGTAGACATAATGTGTCTGTTGTGACTTGTAGGGATGCAACGATACCAATTTTTTCAAACCGATACGATACCGATACTTGGATCTGAGTACTTGCCGATACTGAGTACAAAAACCGATACTTCTACCACACACACACAAATGCAATGAATTGGAAGACAGGTTTTATTTTATTCTCTGCAGATAAAAAATAAAATCGTAATAAAAATGACCACAAAAAAAAAAAGCGCGGGATGTCCCCCTAGTGGCCAATCCAAAAAACTACAACAGAAATGACAAGCCACCCTCTGATTAATGAAATAAGTTAGTATCGGTTCATGGTATCGGTTAACTTTTACGAGTATGAGTACACACACATTTTACAGTATCGGCCCCGATACCAGTATCAGTATCGGTGCATCCCTAGTGACTTGTAAAGTAGTAACAATATCTTTGGTAATATTTCTGGCACGAGACGATAAAAACACCTTTAGTGGTGCCAACGTGAAAAACAACTTTTCCCCCACCACATACAGGTCATTCATTTAGCGAGTTTATTTTTCTGGGTGAGGACGACTCACAGACAGCAGCTGTCAGTAGGTACCAGGGTTCATGGTTTTACCTGGTATCTTGCTCTCATTGGGGATTATGCAGCGCACAAAGTGAGGTTGAGTGCTGCGAAGGTTAGCCATCAGCTTATTAAGATTTTCCTGTAATAAACACACAATTAGTTGAAACCTCTGTCATAGTGTACAGCAGGGGCTAAAGGGTCACATGACAAACTGAGACTGCTGTGGAGGCCCTCTCAGATAAACTTATAAAGAGATCAAATTAAGCTTACTGGTTATGCCCTCCAATTACAGTCCCAGTTTCTCCT